AAAAAAAAAAAAAAAAAAGAAGCAACAGCAACCAGCACATCCAGAATGTAATGATGCAGACTAATGATTACATTAGGGAATGTAATAAGGGAAGTACTGTTTCATGAAGCTCCATTTAGATGTGTAACTGATATATACACGCTGGATTAATTCTGGAGATGTTCCTTCCTGTGGGCCATGGTGACGGTCTGAAAACCATCTTTGGTGGTCTCATTTCTCATTTGGTGCCAGTTCATTTCTTACACTTCTGAATTGTTCAAATAGTTTTAGAGTTAAGTGTGTACCACTTTTTACTTTTAAGAGGGGATCTTGCAAAGGAGACAGGCCAGGCTCCAGCATACATTTATAATACAAAGGTGATAATGTAAGTGAACAACGGGAATTCTTTTAGAAAACCACTTGGAAGCACACTATTCCAGGCAACCATTTTCATGTGCTTAATAATCCATTTTGGCCTTTAACAACATGACTGCAAGTTGTCCATAATGTTCAGACTTCATACTTAATTAGCACATTCTTATTTTTCTTCTGTTTACTTTCTTAAGGTAGATTCTTAGACATGAGCTTACTGGATTAAGGGTATTACTATTTTTGTGTTGTTTGTTTTGAATGACTGGAACCATATTGTTTACCAAAGGATAGTAACTAACAGTTTACTCTGCTACCAGCAAGGTAAGAACTAGCAATAGTGGTGGTAGTTGTGTTAAAAAGTACATAAGTAGTATCTTTAGATTGTCTTTAAGTTTCATGCCTAGTGATAGTGAATATCTTTCATCTTATTATTATATTATTTTTCTATGTCAGTAGAACGTCCATACCCTTTGTCCATTTGTTTAAATCTGGAATCTACTGTTAAGTCAGAGTTTTTAAATGTGGTATTTACCCTTTGTCATAGTCGCTGCAACTGCACATAGCTTACATTTGTGTGTGTGTGTTTTTATTTTACTGTTACTTTTAGTTATATGTGAATTTAAAGCTTTGTTTCTGTTTTATGTTAGTAGTTTTGTACTGTGGATAGCTTTTTTTCTGTTTGCTCAAAGGTGAGGAGATGAACTTGGATCTGAAATACCCAGTTCCCCTGTGCACATGTCTGTGGACAGTCTTTAGTGGTTGACTTTGGTTTATTGTTTTGTCCCTCTCAGATTGCTCATCAACTATCTCAACACTATTAACTAATTTTAATTGTCCTCTTTGTTTTGAGGATTGGATACTTTGACAAACCCTGACTCTTTTTTTTGTCTCAGAATGCCTTATTCTGTTTTACTACATTTTGGAGTTGAGACAGTTTGAGAAATTCAATTTTTCTGATAGTTGTCTATTGCTAAAATGGTGAAATGGCTTTTGGAAATTCTCCGTTACATTAGTAATCCGTAATTTGCATAAAGTTTATTCATCTTATTTTAGGAAGCTAAGATTGTGTGTGTGGGTGTGTGTGTGTTAGTGACTAAAGGTAAATGGTCTTGTCAGTTAAATGAATTAGTTGGTAAAGAGCTAAGTTCTATCTTCCTATGACAAGGCTCAGTTTGGCAAATAAGATGAGCATGTCAGAGACCACAGTTACTTTGGAGTCATTTTGGCCTAGTTTCAGCATTATTGCCTTTATCACCTTCTTGGGATGTTTGTGGTAAAAGTGGTGACACCTCTGGCTGGCTGCTTGGGAGTACTCATCAGTTTTTCCCTTTGACATGAGCTGAAGCCTTGAGCCAGGTCTGAGGAGCTGAGTATTGACTATTCACAAAATGACGGCCGTTGGGCTCAGTGTTGGAGGATGTGGCTGAGGCCCAAATAATTCTTCCCATTACCTCCTTCAGTTTAAACTCTAGAACATGCCTATGTGACAACCAGGATCTTTTTGTGACACTGGAGTGCAGGACTGCATTCCTCCCTCACCAGCTGGTTGAGCATGTCTTCTCTTCCCATGGGGAAGAGCAGGTGGGCAAGGAAGGATGAAATGTATGCCTTCAACAGTTTCCTTTTCTGTGGGTTGGAATGGGGAAATAGGTGTCCTTGGGACAGCCCCACCACTGGATCTCCTAGGTTTATTCTGGCCTGAAACAAAAATGGCCTAATGCCCATGGGTGTACTCTGGGTTGTGTGCAGGGTCCTGTCTGAGTGGCACACTGTCATGGTGTTGCAGGTTGTTCCCTGTGTGGACCTGGCAAGTGTAGTTCTGAGTTTTAAAGTTAATGGGAAGTGAGGGCTTGGTTGCAACATTCTCTGGGTGTGGGTTTGGGCCCTGGCAGCTCCGAAGGAGAGTTCTCTTCTGCTTTGGTTGTATGTCTTGGTGGGGTGAGGCCCTGGTAGGCCTGTGGAAGAGGGTGAAGCAGGTGAAGGGCCTGGTGTCCACAGCCCAGAGAACTCTCTCCCCGACCCCTTTTTGCCTATGAAGCATCCTCTTGCCTTTCCATGTTCAACACCCATGGTTAGAGCTGAAGGAGGCCAGGGATCTCAGGTCAAGTGAGTCCCTGTATATCTTATCAGACTAATCATTTGTCAGCGGCCCCAGGCTGGGCCAGGATGAGGTGCCAGTACTCTGGAAAGCATGCAGGCATGCTCAGGCTTGGTTTCTTCAAGGGGGAAGGAGGGGGTTCTAACTTTGTTTCCTGCTTCAGAGCTTTGGGGAGAGCTCTTCACCATGGCTGGGCTCAGAGACTTCTGAGGTACAGGCTGTAAGATACCTGAATTCTCAGGTACCATGCCTCAGCAGCCTCCTGCCCCCCCCCCCCGCCCCCCATCTCTGAGGTCCCATTCTTGGAGAGCATGGCCAGGCCATCACCTTCCAGATTTCTCTAGGAACCATTTGGGCTGGAGGGATGCATTTGCAATTGTAAGGAATAGGGTTATCTTCTCCATAAAAAGGAACGGGATCTACCACATAGGACATTTTCCTGACTCAGATCAGCTCCCAGACATTTATTATCTTCTGATAAACTTAACTTGAGTTTTATGCTAAAACACATTTTCCCCCTTATATGAATGAATTCAGTCATCTGTAGCTAGAAAGAAAACTTCAGTATTCTGAGACTTTGTATTCTGCAAAACCCAAGTGGGTGATGTTGGTCACTTTTAGCTAGTTGCCTCCAGGAGCCACCTCTAGCACACCCCCAGTCTGGAGTGCACTGCATCTAGCAGTTTTTGCAGAACCCCGCAGGGGCTGCAGCTCTGTGCAGGCTGAGAACAGTCTGTGGGCATGTCAGCATCACCTGGAGAACTGGTCAGTGATGCAGATTCTGGGTCCTAAGGCAGACCCATTGGTCAGAATCTCCAGAGGACAGGTCCCTGGGTACCTGCATTCAGAATAAATCACCCAGATAGTGTCAGCTGGACCCCTCAAGCCCAGTTACATTAGGGATTGGTCACCTCATTTTAGTGTGTCACTGCAGCTGGAATAGGGCAGGGTTTATTCAGGGGGAGGCCACATTGCTTTAGGGAGGACTGGGGGTCTCTGCCTGAGAGTGCCATTCCTCTCCCTGTGGCCCAGGCCGTGTGTCCCGTGTCAGTTGTCCTGTAGCACCCATGGTGTGTCACACCTATTCTTGGAGGCAGTCTGTGGAAGTGCTTTCTGATGGTGGAATTGGGGAGGGGGAGACGGGTGGCTGTGCCCTCTGGCTGATTTTTGGGACCAGAGAGCCCCATGTCTCCTAGCAGTGTCGACCACTCTCCCAGCCCTCTTGCAGGGAGCAGGTAAGGCACGGTGGCATCGAGTCTGTCCTGTTGATTTCATCTTGTGGTCAGGCAGCCATGGCACCCATCTCCACAGGGATGTGGTTTTCCTGGCCCTGCTCGGTACCCCTTTCTCAGAACCTTGCGCTTCTGAGGCTGCCTCACAGGCAGGAACGTTGCAGCAGCTGGGTGCGGCTGCAGTGGGCGTGGGGCAGAAAGAGCAGAGACGATGGAATCCTGAGTCCTTGCTTCAGCCTCTGGGTCCTGGCATGTTTTTGTCTTGTCCTTCATCAGGTCACATAACATTTCTGGACTTTTGTTTCCTCAACTGTGAAGCAGAGAAGTCAACACCTGATGGAAAGATGACGATCATATGTTTGGGAAGGTCCCAAGCAGAAGGCCTCGTCTTTAGGAGGCACTTTAAGAATGATCACCTTCTGTTCAAAAATCCTTTCAAAAATCCTCTTACTCTTTTGGTTGTTTTTGGAAAGTTAACCTGATTTTTGCTTGACCTAGAGCGGCTATTGGCTAGGCCTGTGCCTGGATTTGTGAAAGGCCACAGGGAAGGGCCTGTGTGTGATCTCCGTAGTCTGTGTGTGAGCCTCACTTTGCTCTTTTCTTGGGGAGCAGGTTTTGGGTTGGTTTTGAAATTGCACCTGCCATCTCATCACTCCCACGTCTCTCCACAGATCCTGCTTCTCAGAAGATGCACTATTACAGATACTCTAATGCCGAGGTCAGCTGCTGGTACAAGTACCTCCTTTTCAGCTATAACATCATCTTCTGGGTGAGTGGATGAAGGTGGCTGTGTTTTCTTGACCATTCCATTATTCAGTGTTCATGGTTCTTTAGGTACTTTTGATTTTCCAGGCCCCTTGGGAGACCCTGGGTAGGTTAGTGGACGGGCTTGATGAGCCTTGTCCTCGTGAACTAGGAGACAGTTATAAAACAGACTGTTAAGAAAGTACTGCAGTGGGGAAGGCCAAGGTGATTGAAATCCAGATTGAGACTTGGGACTCTGGTCCTGATCTCTCTCTCTCTCACCCCCCACCCCCACTAGAGGCTGCCATACGCTTTCTGCACATTGGACTGGGACCAGGCCCTGTTTTAGACTCTAGGAGGCAAGAGTGGACAGTGGTAGTAAAGCCTTGTTCTGTGCTTTTTCTGTTTGACCAAAGAAATGTTAGCCTACTGTGTAACAGAGCAGGGAGGAGGGGGTTCCTTGGCCAGGGTGGCCAGGGAAGCATGCTCTGAGGATGTGACTTAGGAATGAGACCTGAGTACTAGTCAAGAGGGTACATGATCATGCACAGAAGCTTTTCAAACCCTTAAGTAAGCATCGTTTATAGTGTCTGTGCAGGGGCAGAAGGAGGAACAGAATAGTGTCCTTGAAGCCACCTTGTGCCACTATTGTGGATGTGGTGTGTCCCCTTTGGACTGGTGTCTGGAGAAGCAGGTCAACTCACTGGGCCTTTTCTGAGCCTTTCACTCCAGAGGCTTTTATGGCATCCTTTCCTGATGATTTATCTCAGAGTTTTTGGGTTTTCTGTCCCATAGAAATAGGGTGGCATTCAACGACTTGGCCATTCATCCAGGTCTTTTCCTGTGCCCAGATAAGCTGCCACCAACAGCTTCATTGCCCCTGAAGTAGGGCAGTGCTGGACATTTGATTTGGTATCTGCAGGTTCTCCTACTGGGAGGACTGGCTGTCCATCCTCCTGTGTGTGGCTCCCAGACCTGCAAAGTTTCCTGTCTGGAGGAGGGCTCTCTGGCCCCACTTGGCGAATGGTGGGTGGCAGCCGGTCTGACACCTGTCATCACTGCTCACTGCCCCCTGCCCGACAGCTAGGCTGTGCTTGTTTGGCCTCACCCTGATCTATGACTCCCATCCTGATTTTTGTGACTAGAGCGAAACTCCCACTGCTGTTGTGACTGAGGGCCACGGTGAGGTCCATTTTTCAGGGACTCTTCAGAATAGATTTCTGTGTTCCTGGAAGCTTTACAAACTTGCCCAGTAACACATTTGTAGCATCAAACTCAAATAGAGAAGTTCAGGGATCTAGAATTGCAGTAAGTCTTCCTGGTGATAGAAGGGTGTGGCAGTGTTATCAGGGTTTTGCAGAGTGTATGTGAGTGAGGGTTAATCATTTTTTAGTTAATACGCACTAGGCAGAGCAGAACACATTGAAATAACAGGAAAATGAGGCAAGACAGAGCTTCTGTTGGGAAAATGAGAGGGGAAGGTCATGTGTCTTGCTGGAAGAGGCTGCCTGAGCCCTCCCTGTTGGGCTCTTGGTGGTTGCTGTTTTCATCTGCACAGGAGTTGGCAGTGTGGCATGAGGCCTGCAAATTGGGGTGTAGCACCCACAGGAAGGGCACCTGGGTACCAGGAAGGGTTCTCACCTGAAACTGGGGCCGTGATCGGCCTGTGATCTTACCTGCCTGCTACCCGACTCTTCGGTTGTTGAACATGTGAAATGAAATGTGAACTCTTCACTCCTTAGAGTTTTCGTTATGGAGAAAGTACAAAAATGGAATAATAAAACGAACCCTCTGTTCCCATAACTTCAAAATGATCCACTCACAACTGACCTTGTGCCTCCCACACCTCCAACTTGCTCTCCCCTTTGATTATTTTAAGCAAAGAACAGAGATTATTTGTCCAGCAAGGTTTTGTTTTTGTTGTTGTCATCAGTTAACAGCTCTGCAGTGAGCTGTGGAGCAGAAGGGTTGCAGCTTTGATGATGATGCAGTGGGTGGTGGCCCTGGGCTCAGCTGGCAAGTTTGAATATGCAGAAGGTAACCGGTTACTTCTTTGACCAATTTTAGGTGCCAGAACAAACACAAGCCTCTTTTTGTTGTTGTTTTAGCAGTTTTCCCCCATTTAGAACTATTTTCACAGTAACATTCTCCGTAGAAACTACCTGTAGCATTCTAACAGTTTTTAAACATTGGGGCTGAGATTTTTTTCCCCAAGGATCTGGAAATACTTCCTTGAGAGCAGAGACCCCCCCCCCCACCTCCCCCCACATGTCTGTCTCTGTTTAAGTATCCTGTTTAGCTGAGTGACTGTGGAGTTCAGGGGTTCTTATCACAGGATGTCAGGAGACAATGCTTTCGGCCTACACAGCATTTTGAGGACACTAGCACTTTTCACTTTGTTTTTTTTTTTTAAATTCACAGTCATTCTTTGGTTGTGTTAGTCATGTTTCTAGCACAAAGTTTCACCATGCCCTTGTTGACTTAAGGGAAATGGAATTCAAAACCACTTTGTGCTCATTAACAAGGCTAATACCAAAAAAAACTCAACCACCACCACCATAAAATAAGAAACGAGAAACGTGGGTGAGAATTGCAAACCTGCTCTCTTGGTGAGAATGTAGAATGGTACAATCAGTAGGAAAGACAGTGTGGCAGCTCCTCAGAGAAGCAGAAAACACTATGCCATGACCCAGCAATTGTAGCTTTGAGCCTGCGTCTGAAAGACTTGGATCTCATGCGAACTCATGTTCACAGCAGCATATTTCAGAGTATCTAGAAGGTAGATGCCCCCCAAGTGTGCATTGCCAGATAAATGGGTAAACAGAATGTGGTCTGCACACCCAGGGAGTGTCAACTCCTTAAAAGGAAGGAGTCCTGCCCCATGCTGGTGTGGATGAGCCAGGGCCACTGTGCTAGGTAAAACAAACAGGTCCCAATAAAGCAAGTACTGTATGATTCCACGCACATGCGGCACCTACAGCAGTCAAACTCATAGAAACAGAAAGTAGAAGGTGGGTGCCAGGGCAGATGGGAAATGATTGTTTAAAGGGTATAGAGTTTCAGTTTTGCAAGATAAAGAGTTCTGTGGGTGGTGTGATAGTTACACAACACTGTAAATGCACTTAATGCCAGTGAGCTGAGCCCTTTCAAGTGGTTACAATGGAAAATTTTATATTATGTGCACTAACTCACAATTAAAATTTTAGACCAAAAAAAAAAAAAAAATCTCCCTGACTTGCAGAGTCAGGGCTCTGGGGACATGGGGGTGTAGGCTGAGGAGCAGTTGGCAGCCTGTGTACTTGCTTCAGTAATACTCACCCCATCTGGCTCCACAAAGAATCCGCTTCCCCCGCTTGCCCCTCCATGGTGATCGTGCAGATGATGCCCGCAGCTCCAGGGCTGCTTCCCCCACGGGCACTGAGTTTGAGCGGCGAAGATTCAGTTAAAGCCCTTGCATGGATCTACTTCAGAGATGAGTGAAAAGTAAAGAACTGAGTCCTCTGAGCACAGAGTCTGTGCGGCTCCGGGGAGAGAGCCCTTGCTCTGGTTTACTCGGTGACGTGGGCTGGTCTGAGCTGCTGTGTCCCTGCTTGTGAGATGGGGGATTAGCGTCGGAGCTTAAAGTGCAGCCTGCTTCCAAGTGAGAGGAGCGCTACGGACATTTGCGTCCTCTGGGTACCAGCCTGGCTCAGGCCTCTTCCTCCAGAGTTACAGAGATGCTGCCCTGAGGAGGGCAAGCATAGGGTGTCGGCTCTAACTGAGAAACAGTGAGGAGCGGGAGGGAGGCTGTTACGAGTTTTGCCAGAACTACAGGTGTCCTCTAGCAAGCCAGGGCATGTGGCTGCACGTCTGCGGAAGGACTTAAGGTTGGGTCCCTTTCTGTTCCTGTTTACATCATCTTTGTGGGTGGAGAGTCTTTCATCTCTATGTCTGGCCTCTGTTGTGCTCTCCCTTTGGTAAGACTCACCACCTTCTTGCTGTGAGGGGGCAGAGAATGGCCACAGACTGTCAGACCCAAGGCCTGATTCGCAGGTCTGAGTGTAAATGGGTCCTCTGCTTCTGTCTCTTGGTAATTAATGCTGTCAAAAAAGAAAATATCTGGTGTTTTAGTAACAGGTATAGTTTATTTTCATTTCTACTGCTGAGGAAAAAAGTAATAAGCCTTTTCTCTTTACATTGAATTTAATAAACTTCTGTAATTGCATGGAATTCTAGATGACACAAAGCATCTGACCTTGACTGCATGCCCCCTCCTCCTTCCATCTTCCTATCTACAGCCACACTCACTTTCACATGTCTGTGAGTATTTTTGCCGTTTTAAGGTCTGTGTTTTCTTTTAAAGATTTATATATTTATGCATACAAGAACTGGGGTACAGGCCAGAGGTGCAGGTATGTGTGAGAGGATTCACCAGAGACAGAGTGGGGAGCAGAACAGGCTGATTGACTAAGTTACACTGCTGAGGGGAGCAGAGGGCAGGCAGCAGAGGTCTGCTGTGCCATGTGGGTCAGCTACCCGGCTGGGGGTTGAACTTGTGCTGCTGTGGCTGCGAATAGCTTCATAGTGCTGTGCGTTAGCCCATTGTGCCACCAGGGAGGGCCCAGGTCTGTGTTTTCAAATTTATACAAACATCACCCAGTATAGAACATGTCCAGGAAACTGCAAGTCTTCCTGATCATATTTTTGGAAATTCCCATATTGGAGATTCAGGTTGTTTCCAATTTTTTGCTATCCTAGATAAGGATGTAGTGATTAGCTTTGTGTGATAGATTCTTCCCTTTGGGGAAAGGAGGGAAATTATTTGCTAGGATGGATTCCCAGGAGTGAGATTAAATGGGCCAGAATGTGTGTACATTGTTCACACCTGACATATTTATATCGTTCAAGTTCCTTCTCCAGAAGGGCTGACCCATTTCCAGTCATAAGAAACAGAAGGCCTTATCTTTTGGCACATAGGGTACATGTGCATGAGTGTTTCTCCAACATTTAGGCTTGCCAAGGCAGAGGACAAGGATTGCTTCACCA